CTCTCCCCTGGAAGCCAATCCCTGGGCGAGCGCCAGATGGGGGGGGGAGGCCTCCCATATTTTCCCACGCTGCCTGGGACGTGGGAGAACTCCCAAGCAGGGGGTGGCTTCTTCATCCCTTCCCCCGCCCCCCAGGAAAGGGAGGGCAGGATCCGGTGGAGGGCCCTCCGAGGGGGTGCCCCATGGCAACGTCCCTTCTCTGCACCAGCATCCCTGCAAACACTTTGGCGCCTTGTGCACCAAAGATCCCGGGTTCAAGGCTGGGTAGCTCCCCATCAGCCTGGTGGGATCCCTCGAGCCCCGCCTCTGCCTCTCCTAGCGGAAGCCGAGCCTCGGCTGGAAGGCCTCTTCCATGGGGGCCAGGCGGCATGGAGGGGATGGACCCACGGACGGCCCCCCTTCAGCCGCCAGGACCACTCAGGGCCTCCTCCGAGGGTGGGCAGAGAGGGCCGGCCAGCTGCACCCTCGGCCGGTTCAGGTGTCCCGCTGGTCTGGAGATCCTGCAGGGCCCTGCGTGCCCAAGGAGAGGAGAAGGGGCGGTGGGCCAGGCCTGGGTGGAGGCCATGGGAGGAGCCGCCGCCAAGGCAGGGCCACGCTCGGAGCAGGAGGCCGGAGTGAGGATGAGCCACCCGGGAAAGGGCCAGGGGGCCCTCGGTCCACCCAACCTGAAAGGGACATTCCAGGAATCCCTTTGTGGTGTCAGGACCGCCTCTGTCCGAATTCCACCCCTAAGCCGAGGTTCTGCAGACAGAGGTTGGCTGGCGAGTTGCTGCCTCTTGCTTCCTTGGGCTTTGGCTGCCCGACGGGCCTCGCCCGGCCGAAGCAACCCCCAGGCTGGGTCTCCCGAAGCCCCGGGGAAGAAGGTGAGGCCTTTGGTCCTGGAGGCCCTTCTTTCGGCTTCTGCCCCCTAACTCGGATGGCCTTTGAAGGAGCCCCTTTTCGATGGAGTTTCACCAAACCCCCATTTCTTTGAAAACAAAGTCCTGCCCAAACTCCGGAGGGCCAAGCTTGCTTCCTGCACGGAGAGAGCAACCCACATCTCACTGCTGCCAGGGGCCCTCCACCTCCAGGGAGACTCGCCTGCCTGGGGGAGGAGGGTGGCGGGGGGGGGGGGGGTGCAGTTGGCCAGCCAGGCAAGCCAACCAAGAAGCCGAGGAGGCACTTCCTGTAAACAAGGCGGTGGAGGCTTGTGGGGCTGCCTGGAGACCGTTCAGGGAAGTAGCTGCAGCCACCCGACTGAGACGGTGCCCGGCCTTCTTTGCCAGCACACTTGGTCGCATCCGTGCCAGGCCCCCTTCTTCCACTTGGGGGGAGATCCTCTGCGCCCGGATGGAGGAGGAGGGAAGGGGGCCCCCCTACAGCAGCAGTGACATCACCCTTCTCAATCAGGGCTGCAAGCCGAAGGCCACAAAGGAGGGGGGCATCATCGCTTAGGAAGGATCCAAGGGGACCCCCCCCCCAAAGAAGCATCTCTCACCCCAAGGGAGGAGAACCTGTCCGGATCACCACCACCGCTTTCTTCACTCCGTTTAGGTTTTAGGAGGGGGGTGGGTGCACTGGGGGAGGGGGCTCTTTCACCTTTGGGGGGCTGGCAATCTCGGTTCCTTTTCTTTTTTTCCCCAGGAGAAAAGAGGCCCAGAGCAAAGTCCCATTGGCATGCATGTCCCTGAGCCTGCCCAAGCCGCCCCCCCGCCCCCCCTCGCCCCTGGCAAAGGATCAGAGGGCGCCCCGCCAACTCGCCTGTCTTTCCGCTCTGCAAAGCACCATCGGATGCCAACACCCCAGGGGGGAGCCTGGAGGAAACGGGGGGGGGCTGGGGGAGGGGCTTGCACCCGGGAGGGAGGGGGAATGGGACAGCTTCAGCAAGGACAGCCCCCCCCCGCCCCCCCATCAGCTAATGGGCTACTTTTAGCTCTGAGCCTCCAAAACCTCACGGATGAAAATGGGGAGTCGAACTCTTATGAGCTGGGTCACGAGGAGGGGGTCCCCCAAATGGCTGTGGAATGCCCACCCCCCAGCTAAAGCAGAAAAGTCTTTGGGGGCATTTGGAATTTCCGTCCAATTCTTGGGGGACAAAGGGGGCTCAGGCCCACTCCCCAGGGAAACAATCACCCCAAGAACTTCCCACCCAGACAGGAAAATATGTGGGGCGGGGGCTGGAAGGGGAAACAGTGGGGGCCTGCAACGGCTTCTCTGGATTTAGAGCCCAGCCGCAGCCAAGAACGGACCTCCTCAATTCCGTTTATTAAGACCTTCTCCTGTTAAGATGGGGGGGGGGGCTTTACATGGGGTGGGCTTCTACGATGCTTTCATCTAAAACAAACGGCTAATGACAAGCATTGGGGGGCCGGGGTCCCTCTCCATCGGTCAGAAGGGCCCCCCAGAAGAAGCACAAGGGCTCCCCCTTTTCATTCGAGTGCCACCACCGCTTTCTTCACTCACCCTAAGACAGCAGTTCAGGTTTTTAAGGACACCTTTGACCCTGGGTTAAGTACGCAACACAGTGGGCACACCACACCGTCTTTGGCCAGGCAAGCAGAAATGGCGGAGGTGGACCATGAGGAAGGACCGGCCAACCTCCCCGCCCAGCTGCTGAAGGGCTCCCGGGCCGGGTCCCAGGGGAGCCCTGGGGGTTTCTGAACACGTCCTCCGCCGGCTTAAGCACACCCTCCAGGTCCTGGGCCAAGCCAGCGGACTGCTGCCCTGCATGGAAAAGGGAGGCGTGTGTGCCCAGGACGGTTATCTGGGTGTGGCGCACAAAGAGCCACAAAGGCCGGCCAGGTGCAAAGTGCGGGGCGAGTAACAGAACCTCCCCCAACAAAAACAAGGGAAGCAGGCAGGCACCTTGCCCCCAAAGCCCCCCCTCCCCCCCCCGCCTGGCTCCTGACCCAACTCAGCCGGCTCTGGGTGGGTGGGGAAGGTGGCCGGTGGGAGGTGGCCCCTAACTCTGGGGGTCAGTGGGCCTTTGGGGAGGGGCCAATCGAGGGCTCCCCGGACTGGGCTTGGGACAAGCAGAGACTCCCCTCTACTGTTGATACAACCAGCCGAGGACCCGAGTTCGAAACTCTCTCTGAGGTGCCCCCCCCTTTGTCCCCTCAACTTCAGAAGGTGCTTGGGAGTATATAGATCAGGAGGACCAAGCGCTTCTCGCAACGGCCCGCCGGCCACCGCAAGACAGTTCGCAAGTGGGCCTGCAGCTTCCGGATGGTTCCGCCCCCCCCCCCCCAGTCATCCGTCCTGGAGAGGGGAGCAAGCAAGATAAGGCCTCAGGTCAAGAGGGAGGCTGGCTCCACCTGAGCAGCCCTGGCAACAGGTGTCATCCCAATTCAGAAAGGGAGCCCACCCAGGGAGGGCGGGGATCGGGCCCAGTGACTGACCTGCAAGCCCCCTCGGGCCGTCTCCGACCCCTTGGTCTCTTTTGGGGGGGAGGCGGGGGGGGACACGGATTTCCTTTCTTGTTTCATCTTTACTTTGCAATGCAGATGGAAAGCGGTTTTTCTCCTGGGCCTCCCCAGGAAGGGCCTGGGGCGTGGACCCTGGCATAGGGACCCTTCCTCGCCAAGGGTTCTCCATCCCAGAATATGGGGGGGGGCGCGGCAGGAGCAAGGAAACCCTCTTCCTGAGCCCTTTGGAAAGGGGGGGGGGCAGGAAGAGCAGGCTGCTTGGGAGGGGGAGCGGGGCTGCCGAGACAGCTACACCAAACACACAGCGCCTCCTCCAAAGAGGGCCCAGCCTGGGGCTGGAGGAGGCCTCCTCGCCGGAGGGGCCTCCCGACTTTGCTATTCAGCCCAGCAGATCCCAGAAAGCCTTTTTTCCTCCAGGCCCAAGACTTCCTGCAGGGTCCCCCAGTCGTCCTTGGGACAAAGTCCAGCCTTTCCCAATTAAAGGATAACTTTTCTGGAGGGGGAGGGGGGTGCAAGTAGGGGAGTGGGCGGGGTGGGGGTGAAAATATTATGGCAGCCTTTTGTTTTTAACACCCACAGGCTTTGCAGAAGAGAAATTCTCCCTCAGTGTAGAACAGGCCCACTCGTGTGTGTGTGTGTGTGTTTGTGTGTGTTTTTGTGTGTGTTTGTGTGTGTTTTTTTTTGTGTGTGTGTGTGTGTGTGTGCACGCGCGCTTCTCACAAAGGAATGAAATAATGGTTTGCAAGCAGGAGGCTGGTTTCAAATGAGAACCAGACCACTTTTCTGACACAAACCAAACAAGTCCTCTTTGTTTCCCTGTCCTCAGATGCTGCAGCAGCTCTTCTGGCCTCCTCCTAAGCCCCTAGTCCTCATGGATCCACTGGGAGGGGCCCTGGGCAGCCGTGTGCCATGCAGGGGGGCTGGATTTCAGCTAGGCTACACTGAACTGAACCGGGCAGCCTGGATCCAAGGAGACCCGATGCACCCGAAAGAGATTGCACTGCTGCCTCCTTTCACTTTTGTTTACAAAAACCTCCATGGGTTTCTTGCTTGCCTTTACTCCTGGAGTAGCTTCCTTACTCTCCCTCCAGGCATTACTGCAGCCCCCTGGGTGGGCAGGGAGACCCACAGCTTTCCTTCTGCCTCTAAGCTTCTAGCAATTTCTCCAGCTCCTCTGGAAAGGCACCAGCCAGGGCAACCTTCAGTGGCAGAGGGTTCCCCGGGCCACTCCCAGGCAGCATGAATAGACCTCCCAAAAGAGATGCCCAATTCTGTGGCACATCAGAGAGAGAAACCGCGGCACAAACAACGCAGCAACAGCCGTCTTTGGGCTCGCCGGGTGCCAAGACCAAGCCAGATCCTGGCACAGGGCAGCCGACTCAGCAGTCTGAAGCCAAAACCTCCCTGGGCCCTCCGTGCAGATGTTCATGTGGCAAAGGCTATGCCGCCTGTGCCAGACTCCCACCACCTTCGGAAAGGACCTGCAGCCATGCGGGGGAGGGAGCAGGAAGGGACTCCGGTGTCCATCACTGCCGGCCAACCAGCAGAAGAGGCAGCCCGGGCCTTGGGAAAGCTGCCCCGGTTTTGGAGGGCACGCCTGGCCTTCCTCAACCCTGAGCCAGAGAGAGGCCAGCAGGACCCACTTCAGAGGGGCCCCAGGCCCCGCCGCCCCTCCAGCTCTCAGCAACGCAACCAGCTGACAAGGCGAAAGCTAATTAGGCAGCTTTGGAGGGTTGATCTGCGAGTCTCTCTGCCTCTCCTGGCCGTCCAAGGCAGGCACCCTCCCACAAACCCATCAGGTTTGGCACTCACCGCAGCAGCCCTGCCGCAAACCACAACTCCCCCTTGGCTACCGATTTGGAAACTCCCTCCAGGGCGCCTTCTCCTGCCCACCAGCTGCCCTGAAGCGCTCCACGGGGGCCTCCCTGCTCCCCCCAGGCCTGAGAGGCAGCAGCCTCCAAGGCGGGAGGGCCCAGGGCCAGCTCCCCCCCCCCCCCCCCAGGACCTGCTGCCTATCACGGGCACCTGCCCCTCCCAAGGCTTCCCCACCCGGGCACCCTCTCCCCAGCCCAGCCCCCTCCGACTGGCAGCCGAGCCCAAGCAAGAGCCCACCAAGCGTGGGAGGAATAGGAGACGGAGAGGCCGCCCAGAGACCGGTCCAGCCCCCTGGCCCCCACCTACCCGGCCTGCTCTCCTCACTCTCCGATTTCATGCTGGGGGGCTGGGGGGGGCGGCTCTGAAGGCCAGTCGGTCCTTCCCTGCCACCTCCGCGGCTGCTGCCGCCGCTGCTCTCCCCTCTCTTCCGCCTGACTCCTCCCCGAAGCAGCCGGAAGGAAGGGAGGGAGGAAGCACCGGTTGCGCTACCTGGAGCCCCAGCCCGCCTGGGATCAACAGGTGCTGCTGCTCTACCCGTGCCAGCCGGAAGCTCTGCCGGGCAGGGGCAGGGAGGGGCTACCTCGCTGGGCCACGGGCCGTTTACCTGCCCAGCCAGCCTCCGAGGGAAGTGGACGGAGCAGATTCTGCCTGCCCGCCCGCCTACTCTCCTCTCCCCCAGGGAGGGAGGGAGGGAGGGATGCAGCGGCCATCGGCAGCTCCTTCCCTTTTGCTTTGGTTTTTTTTTTGGGGGGGGGGGAGCGTGCCCACCCGCCTGGCCCTTGGCTGCCTGCAATCCAGAAGGGCCAAAGGAAGGAGGAGGAGAAGGCAAGAGACTTGCTGGGGTTCAGCGGATGGATGAGTTGTGTCCTTCTCAGGCTGCAGCAAGGGGAGGAGGAAGCCCCCTTTGGCCTGGCCCCAAATCCCTGGGCTCTGCAGAGTTTGAGGGGGAGGATCGTCCCAGTCGGACTAAAACACAACCTGTTCCAATTTCAGGCCTTTCGCCACCCCCATGAGGATTAGGGCCTTGCTCCGTCAGCATAAGGGCCCCATAGACATGTGGCAATGCCCCGCTTTGCCAACCGTGACCCCAGATGAAAATGAAAGCAACACTCGGACGGCGCCCCACTTCAGAGGGACAAAAACATCATCTGCCTCATACTTACGACCACTGCAGCCCCCACGGCCACGCATTTTGTTAGCGGTGAGCATGTACCACCAGGGCAGCATCCCAGACAATGAAGCTTCAGCAGAATCTGCTCAACAACTGCGTGATTCATTTAACAACTGCAACAATCCACTTTACGACCGTGGCAAAAAAAGGTTGCAAAATCAGGTGTGACTCACTTAACCACCACCTAGGCTTAGCAAGAGAAATTTTAGACCTGCTTGTGGTCATCAGCCGAGGATGCCCTATGTTGTTTTGTCTTCCAAAACATCACAGAGCAGCTGAGCTCGGCAGGACAATGTGAAGGGCCAGGAGCCCCCTCCTCTCCCCCCTTGGTTCTGGACCCTGCCCTCAAACCTCCCGCTGAGCCCCCCCCACCCCCATTTCCTTCATCTTGGCATGGAGCCACGTGGGGGACCGCCCAGAAGCATTTCAGGCTTGAGCCCCGCCCGCCCCCTTGCAGTGAGGGGAGGATCAGGGCAGGGAGGGGGCGTGGGAAAGTCCCCCATCCAACGAGCCTTGCTGCAAAAAAAAAAAAACCCCTCCTGAGGAGGAGCAGCCCCCGCCATCCCCCGTTCGCTCAGCAAGCCAACACGCCTGAATAAAAACTTCTTATTTTAACCAGCTTTTGAGTGGTGGCAAAAACCATAAATGGGGAGGGGGACAGACTGTGTTTCCTCTGACACAAATCCAAATTATATTCTCTTTATCTGTTCCTAACCTCCAATCTACCTGCTGGCCTACAGAGTGATCCCCACTCACCTCCTCCCGTCTCCTGCTTGAGCGGGGGTTGGACTAGAAGACCTCCGAGGTCCCTTCCCACCCTATTTGGCCTGTCTGGAGTTCTTCCACTGCTTTCCGGGTGATGTTTCTCTCTGCATGTGTCACACCTTCTGCAGTCGGGTGGGTGGCAATGAGGAAACATGTTTGTTGCTAAACCACTAAAACCTGGATAATATCTTCGCCTCCTGAGGTATCAGGGAACCGTTAGTTCAGCATTATTCAGGCACTTTGCTGGCAGGCAGTTTTCAGGCTGCTGTGTGGTCCTTGCCTCGTTCCTACCCTCCTCACTGGACGAGTCTAAGGCTCAGGGACAATATCTGATTTCAGAGGAGGAGTTCAGAGGCACTTTTCCACATTGATCCAGACTATCAGACCACTCCAGTTGAAACACTGAATCAGGTCTATTTTCCCAGTTGATCTGAACCATCAAATCAGATCAAACACAACTTTAATTTTAACTTTCTCGCTTTTAGCGGTTTTCTCAGTCCCGGAAAGAGGCGCCCTTTTCTATCTTGGACGGAAGGGCTCTGCTGCTGTCCTTAAGGGAAGGGGTTTAGGGGCATCGGTGCCAACAGGAGCTGGTGGCGAGGGGAGGGGACTCTGCAATCCAGAAGAAGAAACCCTGGGACTCCCCCAGCTCAGCTTAGGGGCTTAAGAATCGACACCGCCCCCCACAAGTCTCAGGGACGGATCCAAAGCACTTCCCTCCTTCAGAAACGCCCCAAGAAACTGGCAGAATCAGGACGCTCCGTGGGCCTGCGGAGAAAACGTTTTCTCCCGGGGCCGAATATTATTCCCGCACTGACTCCCATAGCATCTATTTCATCCCTCCTGTTTTATTTACCCTGGGAATATTTCATTTCTGACTTGGGGGTCACCTGGCAAAGGTGGGGGAGCAGCAAGAAAACAAATAAATCCATGCCAGAGGCCAGAGAAGATAAAAATAGAGTTTTTTTGGGGGGGGGTCAGGGCTGGGCTTCCGAGACCAATTCTCTGTGCTGCATTAAATTCTGATTTCCCGGCTGAAGAAGGAGCCACAGGCTTAAATTTAACCCAAGGACATTTCGACACAATCACCTGGATAACAGCACTAATAATAGGACCACCACAACAGCAGCAACACAACTTCCTGCAGCTACACTGGTCAAGTTTCCCAGTGGAGTTACTCAGGGGGCATCACAGAAGTACCCAGAGCACCACAGAAGGGAGGACCCAGGGCTTTGTGTGTGGTTGGGACTTCTCAGTCAAGCCCACAGCTGTCCTCACCACAGCCAGCTGCCCCTCTGCCAGCCCAACCCAGCCTGGCACCTTGGCCATTCATGTTTCCAAGGCCCCCAGGAGGGCTCCCCATCAGCTCCAGCATGTCTCTGGCCCAGCCACAACTCCCATGGGGGGGGGAGGAGGAGGAGGCCACACAATCTTTTGCCCAGCAACAATTGGGGTGTGTGTGTGTGTGCTTGCACCTCCTCCTGGAGCAGAAGGCCAGAAGGCTTTCTCCAATGGCTCCAGGTCCTCCAGGGATGATGGTCCCTCCATTGTTCAACACTCCCAGAATCCCCCTTAATTTGGAGAAGCTCCATTTGAATTAGTCATGCATATTTAATTGTTGTAACCTATTTTTTTGTTCTGAACCACCAATACCCCAAGATGTGGCGATATATAAATGTAAAAAGAAGCACCTTGCTTACCATCAGAGAAGCAGAAATTGTCTGTATGTTTCATATAATTAAAGAGAAGACACCTATCACAGGGTAGAACAACAAATATACCATAAATACCACTTTTCAGAGGTGTCTCCTAGCCCGCGAGGTTAACCTGAGGTAGAGTGATGGCTAATTAAAGGATGAGGGGGAAGGAAAGGAGCCAGTATCAGCCAGGGGAAGCCACAGGCCTTTCAGGGGGCCACAGGGCCAGTCCTGCCTTCTTGGCTCAGCCAAGTTCACAGGAAGAAACAGAAGGAAGGACTCCAGGGCTCACCGCATTTACATCCTGTGGAGGAGAAGCTGTTAATTAATCCAAAGGTGCTTTTTCAAAAGGCCTTTCTGTGCTTTTTTTTTTTTTTCCTCTTGAGGGCGTTTCACTTTGCATCTAAGAACCACCTTCAGTTCTGTCTCTGCCATGACTTGGAAGACTGAGAATCTCCATAGACATCAAGCCGGCGTCCATTTACTGGATCTCTGAAGAAGACTCATAATACGCCTACTCTGGAACAGGCAGCGTCTTGAGCGCAGATCCTCATTCTGATTATTATTTCCACTTTTCCAGGACGGGTCCAAAAGAGGTCAGGGAAGGGCTGCTTCAGCACCATGGAGAGCTGCCCACCCGTCTTGGGCTCCCACCGGGGCCAAAGGTCAGCAGAGACCCAGCATTCCAGAGGTGGCTGCACTACAGCTCCCAGCAGCCCCAGCCAGAGACTCGTGGTAAAGGATGCCGCAGGTGTGTTCAGCCTCACCTGGTGGCCTGCACACCTGCTCAAGGCATATTAAAGACAATGTGGCATTCAGACAACTCCCTGCTCATTTCAGTAAACTGCACATTCTGCCTCCAAGAAAGCCACTGAAATTCTCTTTGCCTTCAAAAACAAACTCACTTTAACCAAACGAAAGGAGAACCGATGGGGAAAAGCGCAGGAGAAATTTCGTGCAAGGTTCTCCCCAAAACCCCCAGCCAAGAGTCAGGTCTTGGAAATCAAAAGGCTGTGGGTATTTTGCAGTGCCCTGGGCTTGCTCACCAGAGAGAGAGCAACTGATGGCAAGCTCTGGAAGGAAAGATACCCAGATCTGAATTTTGCACCTCTTTGTTCACCTCGTTGCAGAATCGTCTCGGCTCTCTGAATGAAAGCAAAGACATTTTATCCATTCATTTGACATTCTCTGATATCAGATGCAGCTGCAGGAACAATCCCCCATTTTGTCATCCTTAATTCAAACACTGGCCTCCTTTTTGAAAAGTGGGGATTTTTCGGGTCAAGTTCCTTTCAAGCTCGCACACACAGAGATGGATTTTAGCCTTTCATAAAGAGTTTCTGTCTTCCCTCCGAAGGGACGGAAAGCAACACAGTAAAGGAACATCCACCACGCAACTTGTCAATCCCAGCCCCGGGAAGGTTTTCGGCTGATTGATGGCTGTGCATTTCGGAAGGATTTACTGGGCACGCGTTGCACAGAAAACCAATTTCCCCAACCATTCCACTGAGGCCCTGGCGCTTCTCTGAGTCTGGACTGAGTAGGGGCCACAGGGCTGAAGACGGAGAGCGCAGCATCCTCTGCAGGAAGCAGAGCCAGAACTGCCACCGAGCAGGTGCACATCAGCAGGAACTGTGCGCAAAGAAGATGCAAAGTCCCTTTTTCACTTTTTAAAATCACAAAGTGACAAAATGACCTAACAGTGAAAAGGGAGAAACAAAGAGTCACCGAGTGCGAGAGCCCCAGATGTCTCCCTCAGAAACAGCTGGTGGAGGAAATCAAGACGGCTTAAGAAGTCCGGCCAAAGAATGGGGGGGGGGGCATCCCGCAGGAATATTTCTGCACCTCGCTTCCATCGGCCGAAATTTCTCTCCGGGATTTTAGAAATTATTAGCTATCCAC